TGCAATGTTACTAGGTGGCCAACAAAACTGTACGTGCAGGGGAAAGGGTCATAGATTTCGCATTCCTAGGGTGACTGAATTGCTTTCGGCATCTCGATCACAAAGGCTCTTGTTTGGATTTACTAATTGGCCTATTCCGTTTATGTGGCGTACAAACGAACACAGTGCAATTTAGTCGGTGTATCTTGCAACGGTTTAATTCTGTGTGACCTTTTCATGTTGGTAACAGAAAGTTTTGTTTTGGACAGTATTTGCATCAGACGGGGTACTGATAAATAAAACTTTACAATTAGTTATGAACTTTATTGGACTTGAGAAGAACCCTAAAGGTTAGTGTCTACGTTGCTAAATCTTCATGAAAGTTTTCAGAAGACCAAATATTTTTTACTGAAAGTTGTCATACGAAAAACATTTGGCTTGCTCGGCAGTTATCATAAATATTCCTGATACGTTTTCGTGACCAAAAACTAAATTAAGCCTACTAAGTACTTAACTGACCGCTGGATTAAGTTAGGTTCCAATTAACACCAATACAATCATTCTGGTTAGCAGGTACGCATCACTATCAAGTTGACATGAAAATTTAGTTCTTTGTGTTCCACCTGAAATCTTTAACTCAATGTCATGTTTTACATGATTCCTATTGATTTTCGTAATCCAAAATTGCCCACTATGTACCCGTTTTTGTAGAGGGACGTATAGCTTTCTAGCCTATAGCAGCAAGCCAACAGAATGCGGACCGACGACAGCGAAAAGATAATCAGTGTCCTACCTACTAACTGGCAAACACGCGTTATCTTTCACGAGCTCATTTTAGCGCTTCACAGCATAAATTGATTATCTGATATCAGTTTTAGGAGACTCGGAGAAATGCCACTGACTTTAAGGGTGTAAATAAGCAAACGGTCGACCGGAAATTGGGTGTTTCGTAACTTACTAGAGTTCATAGTGACCTCACTGTTTACTTTTCTAGAAGTGACCCTACAGTGTCCCGCAGCCTCTTTTTGTTGCCACTTGTTCTCGTTATATACAACAGGAATAAATACCAACATGGTATTTAGAATTATATGAACCTAAGGTCACAGTAGGACATACAAATGCTTTTGGACGCGCTGGACCTACTTCGCGCTTCTTAAATGTGGAAATGTTCTGAGGTATAAATTACCTCCTTCAGCAGTTGGGTGTGAGCTTCAGACTGGGGTTGTTTCGTTGTGATGGAATTGTGTCATCTTGTGGATTTCATACATATTAATTTCCCGTCTTTAAAAGACAAATTAGCATCTGATGGGTTGTGGCAACAGGTTCTCTCAACCGCAACATTTAGTTATGTGATTTTCATGCAGAACGGCGTTTTGAAACAAGATGGCAGCAGTCACCTGCTCTGTCATTCTGATGCAATCCCTCTATGTAGGGTGTGCTCCGTCCTTACTTAACTACTACTTATGTACGGAAGTATTCAGTTAAATATTCACACAATGAGTCCCTATTGAATTTGTCATTCGTGTGACCTTAGAATAAACTAGAACAGGCAAAAACATTACCAATTTTTAAAAACTAAGCAGTCAAACGGTTCGTTAGAGCCAGCAATGGTCGAATTTGCTGAGCGAGCGATTTGGACCAAGATTGAATGGTTGTAAGTCTAAAAGAAAAGAAGTGCGTTAACGAACACTTTGGTACTAAAAATATCGGATGTGAATAAGTTCTTCATAACCGAGCAATCCCACTGTTACCGCAGATTTGTGGAGAAGCCCTACGGTGAGGATAAATTGCTTGACGCTTTTCACCCAACATATTCCTCATGACATCGTCCCTCGGAATTTTCAACATAGAAACATTCTTAAAAGATCATGCGATCGGCAGTGATATGGGCTAGCTCTACATTTGTATTGACTTATCGTTGAGACATCTCAAGTGATCAACAAAATCACCGGCCACCAGAAATCAAGCAGAGAGGGAGAAAAATTATAATGCGATTTGTCATCCAATCAAATACACCACTGCTAAGGCTTTCAAATGAAACTTTTATCGGCAAAGAACAATATGAGCACTGAATCAGAACCACCAGGCTTTTTCTGTCACTGCCAAAGTTGATGAGACACAATATATCTCTGTATAATGAAGGTTGAGATTTAACGGGAATTGGATGCAGATTTGTTAGTTGTAGGGTGTCTGGAAAAGGGCATGGTTCCCCAAACGAGAGTGGGAAACGTAAGCGCACAAATATACCATTACCAGTGGGAAGGTAAGACTGTTTTACAAATATGACCAGAATATAATCTATTACTATTGATATAATGCGGCATGGCTTATTTAATCAAAATAGCCGATGTCCTAGTTTGTATAATTTAATACATCCCAATTCTCCGAGCCTCTACAAATTGAACCACTTTTCGATCTAGTCTTTCTGAAGTGGATGACAACTGCCTTTGTACTTCAGGCTTTAGGAAAAAAATCAGCTCATTCATAGCGTCAAAAGCGGATGGGAAATATACTTGAAACCAGAGCGAAAAAGCTATCTCAAAATTGTAAAACGATATGGGAAATGAACGTGGTGTGAATTCGTCCTGATTGCTATACTTGGCTTCTGTCATTCTTGCGTGAGTAACGGTGAACCTGTTAATACACTCAACCAGCGGACGCGGACAAACAGACAGATAAAAGTTGGATTTTTGCATGAGAAAACTCTTGCACAATTGAAAATGTCGTAATTTTTACTATGAACTGAAAAGTGTCTAATTATGTGGTTTAAACAATTCACCTATATATGCGACTAGGTAACCTCCCAATGAACGACTGCATTTAAATATCACTACCCTCACCGTTATGCAATAAACATTCTAATGAAAATTCAAGGTGTGGCAAGTTGAACAATTACCTTGCAATAATTTTCGGCAATAAAGACTTTTGGGAATGAATCGGGCATGGAAGAAAAGCTTAGAAGGAGCTCTGGCCTTCATTAGATACTACTGTTGATGTTTTGAGGGAAAGTGTCGCTTAAACCACTTCGCTATTAGAGTCTATGAGGCAGGAGAACGGATCTTGGTGGTTGTTTGGCCAACTTATCTCGTTGTGACATAACCCGCAAAGTGTCGTTACGTGCCACTGCCCTCTCTAGCAACGCACTGTTAGTGTCACCTCGATTGGTACTGAAACCTTTCTAATCAAATTGTACGGCTCAGCGAACAGACCAGCGACCGTTTTTTGCCTTTTTTATACCATATCGTGCAACTGTAATGAATAAATGGTGTGATGAAAATCTGAAAGGGCCAGTGAGAATAAAATTAATTCGATAACGTAGGTTCCAAACGGTAACGTTTCATTCTTCCGGGGGCAGACTGCTACTTTGACGCTTTGGTTGGGAATCTATTAAGCAAGGTCCATTAAAGGAAGTTCTGTTTATGAAAATCCCTTATATGCAATGACAAACGTGGGTATGGGTTTGACATACCATGGAACTGACAAGTCCTGCGCACTAGTGTCAAAAGTGGTAGATCGTCCATTCACACTTGTCACACAATAGATTTGGGCCCAGTGAGTACAAACATGCTTCAGTGAAAACTCCACATTTCAGGACAGTGGGGATTCGTGCACCGACGTATTGATCCAAATAATTTGCTGTTGTTTATTCATGTTATTTTTTCCACATTTTGTACTTGGTGCAATGAAGCAAAGTGAGACTGAACGAAAAGCATCCCACCTCGCAATTTGATTCTTCAGTGTAAGGGAAGTGGACACAGGGCCTGGTTTAAATGAGCACCTTAGCAGTCCCAAATTCGATTGGAGAATGAATGGCAGTTCCGTGCGAAATACGTACCAAACACATGCTGACAAGCGACGTTATGGGCTCCACGAGAAAATATCCCAAATAACCTTTGATTACAATAAGGCACCGAAAAGGCCTTTCGCTGTTTGCGCGGTGTTGTTTCTCATTAATTGTGACGTATTTGGTTTTTTGAAGGTTATTACTTATCAGGTTTTATTCCAATCGGAATGCGGTTTATTTATGCGCAAGATTTATATGCAAAATTGTTTTACTGCAAATTCAGTAGTAACTGCATATTCCTCCCTTTCTTTTTTCTTTGATTTGTGAATCGTCATTGAAATATCAAGGAGCAATTTTCTATTCCAGCTACATATATTCGGGCTTGTGGCCAAAAGACCGTATTGAGTTGCAGGGGAACAACAATGCCGAGTTTGTAATCGAACGTCGAAATGTTGAGAGGAATCTGCAGCTATTTTGCACTCGTTCCAGGTCAATGTCTTCTTCGAAAGATTCTGCAGTGTGTTTATACAGGTGATAGTTATAGTTGCGGCACCCATATGCCTTTCGTCTAGTGATAACCCATTCTTTGTTTCTCCCAGTCAAATTTTCCTGCTATTTTACAGAGCCATCATGCGACATGTGATTAGATATGACTGCAACAATCTGTAATTGCGTAAGCAAAAGCTGTTAAAGTGGATAAATACCTGGCTGCACTACTCCAAAATTCAGTCATCGTGGAAAATGTAGTACACGTTTGTTTACCCTTTTTGAATCGTCTACGCCTGGATTACTAGAGCAAGCGTCTCCGTACCCGGGGACTAACACTGCCGTCAGAATAAATCCTCAGTCTTGACATACAATATTTGGAGCTCTGTAATGTTTTAGACGTGTTACACTACGCATTACTGTTTTTAATTCGCAGCCACCGCTGAACAATTTGCACCCCTTTGGTGGGCTTTGCCGTTGGTTCAGAACTCACTGTCAAGTGTCCTGTTCGCCAAATGTCACAAAAACCATCCACACACCACCTGCTGTGAGAGCTCGTATTTGCACAAGTTTGCCAAAAATTCAACTGATTAGAACATTTACAATCTAGATAGAGAAGAAGAAACCTAATAAAACTCGCTGATGAGACTGATTAACGCAAAATAATTGAATCTGCTGACATCAGAGGTAATTCGATCCTGAGGACAGTTGCTAGAAATCCTGCAGATCAACGTCGTATTAAAATAATTACCTCGGACATGAGCAACGTTCGTTATACAGGTAAACGGACACGTTCTGAAAAACAGTCATTTGTATTCCTTGGGCACGGGTTAATGTATTTTCTATTTGTAAAGGATTTTATTTACTGTCGTTCCGGTTCACTTCCTGTCAAACTACGGATCACTGATTGTGCGCTTTAATTTTAGAGCTGTAGTGGATACGGATGTTAACCACATGGCTCCCCTTTAGTTTGTCGGATTATGTGGATCGTATTCTCTTTGTCGTTCCAGGTTTCCTTGATCGGTACTTTGTAGCCATGTTTAAGAACATAAATCACGATTCGGTTTGGATAAAAATACGGGATCAAAACGGGCAGGTATGAGATCTATGTGTTATCGGTTCGTCCCGGTGGGGCAGTGTGCGCACAACCCCAAAACTATGCTAGGATTCGTACAACCACACAAGGGAAAGAACAAATAAAAGCAAGATCATTCTTCCATAAATTTTTCATTGGAGATTTTCTTGAAAACGCACAAAAATTGAGCTAACCAATGGCAGTTTTTGAGAACGTTTCTGTTTTCCGTGCGAAGTACATGACCAATATGAATTCGTTGCGCATGGTACTCCTGCCAGTACTTCTGGTGCTGCAGTTGATGTGTGTGACTTGTTTGAGAGTTAAATACAAGATGACCGTGGAGGCATTGGGCTTGCTTGCTTTCACATTTTTATGTGTCTCGAATTATTTATGAGAATCTAGAATCATTCTTCGAATCTGACTACGGCTGCAAATGCCATCTAATCTAGGTATTAACACAACTGGCCCGTTTGATATTGGTAGCGTAGTAAACGAATCCCACTTTCAAAGTCCTCCATCATGTTCCACCAAAACGATCAGAGAAAGTTTGGAAAATGACGCTAACGATGGCTCATGGAAAAACGATATTCCTATTTGTCTGTTTACATGAGTCCAATTGTCCAAAAGGACTCAGAAATTAATTAGCCCAACGGTAGCAAAAAATTACTCCGTTGAACAGTAGCCCATCACGGTTCTTCTTTTGTAACCATTTGGATTGTGATCAGGAAATGCAGCATCGTCCTGCCACACTGTTTTACGTTTTGCACAAATACTGAGCCGTCAAAACTCATCGGAAACCGCTCCCGTTTCCCGTGTTACTAACGGACATATATTTGCAAGCTTCCTTAGATGACCGCTAAGCTACAGCATGGAGTTCGAGTAGATGTTTGAGTTTAATTTTTGACGAGATCTGGAGTATCTTCAAGGAATTTAGCTTGCTCTTATTCGCTTGTATTCCAAAGCCTATGTTCCTAGACACCTGTCAGTGCGCTAGCTGAAAGCTGCTGCTACTAGTTGGTATCGATTTCAAAACCCTGGTCAAATTTGTTTGGTAAACGTGAGTGGCACACGCAAAATACAATTGTGACAACAGTCAAAACACTACCCTTCCCACCCATGGTGCACATTGTGAAAGGGGGACTATCGGGCCTTTATTGATCTAAATACGTCTAGGATGACTGACACATCCAGGGTGGCGTGTAGTAAAGAACAACCGGAAGCACAATACACTAGATAGTTGGTGGACCGTATTTGCATGAGAAGAGCAAATCCAATATGTTACGTGAAATTGAGTAACGAATTGCTTGGAGAAATTTAGAAAGGTCAGCATCCACTTGCATGATGGGCCACTTCCCGTTAATGCAACATAGTTTTTCATATTCAACCAAACTAAAATCTTTTGCCATATAGGCGTTGAGGATTAAGATTTGCAACAGGACGTGATTTGTCTGCTTTTTAATAAAATTGATTAGGACTGATTTCGGTGTTTGGGCGTCAATAGTAGATTCATGTTTTTGGATGGCAACCTGTTTTTGGAAACTGGTAAGGAATTTGAGGTACCGGTTTTTCAGCCACAATAAGCTATTGCTTGAGGCTATTTTGTACCCATAGCTAGTACTCAAAGCCTGGGAGACAACTGGACCATCAGCCAGTGAGTTTGAGTACAATCGGCTGAACTCGAAGATTTCGTCATCGTTGATCAAACTTAGGACAAGCTCAAACGTTTGCCACAAGAATACCCAACCAAACAATACTGCATTATTGAAGACTAGTTCATTGGCAGTTCTCAGTATTCAGTGCACTCCCACTGATGCAGAGCACCACTTTTCTAAGCAACGACTTGCGGAGTATGTTGACTATCATCGGGTGAACGGCCCGTCAATCATAAGACATGAATTTGTAAACTTTCTTATAAAAGCGAGCACATCTCGTTCTATATGCCATGAAGTTAAAAAATGATACTTCAACTATAACCCGTACTTCACAAGATTATGAGCAGACAAGAAATTGAACCACCTGAAACCAACCGGGTAGGTGATTGCAAGTTTGCATCATTACAAAATCCTGGTTTTATTTGTTGTAGGAGCCAAATGTATTTCATCAAACAACAAAGTGAGTAATTGGCTCGTTTCGCAAAATGGCACCTTGATCACGCCCACCACAATATACTCACATGTTTTATTAAATTAATATCACTCAGGAAACTTGGAGCTCGGTATGCGAGACAACGTCCCCTCATCGCTCATCTGTTTTACACGACGGATGCTGGCGTTGATTCATATTCACTGAACAAGCCTGTCAACTGTGGGTAGTGTCTCGCTACACAGGGGGGCATCCATGAGGTTTCCAGAAAGGTTTCTTTTTCTTTTCTAGGTGGAAACTAGTTTTTTGGGTGCGATGTCCCATGAACCTATAATGAGGGGCCAGTTAAGCAGTCAATCGTCACTGGAGTGTAAATCGCGTTGCTGAGACAATGGGTCACCCGCAACAGTGATACCGAGAGTACCGATTGTACTCATATGCCTGCAACATAAAAGCAGCATTCCGCACGATCAGTAGTTTTCGATCACTCGTTCTTTATCCTAACTAGATTTTGCTTGTTTAAGCACTGTCATTCTTGTAATTTTGAATGCAATTAACAATCTACGGTTTGTCTTTGTGGACCTTTGCTTTCTCATGACGCTTTTGCCCTTGTAATTGGAACGCTGAATTCGATAAATACACAAATGATTATCCATTGACTCTCACTGGGTTGTTATTTTTTTGTTAACTGGAAATGCTAGAGCCCACCACAGTTATCATTACGTGAATCACTGTAAAACATTCATACTTAAAACCACGTCACTTCCGTGGTGATTCAATCTCACTAGTTAGTACAATGTGGGATAATCACGGTTGAGTAGAAGTAGACAAGCGTGTCAAAAATCGTCTTCGTCTTGATTGAGATGATGCTTCTGTCTCTTCAACAATGAAAATCTATACGGCGGACTTCAGTGAAATCTTTCAATCTAGCACTGTTACAGACAGCATTTTCTAGCACAGAAAGTTCGTACTGTTGCAGGGCAATATGGGCGTTACACTTGGGGTCCCGAGAATATGACTGTAGCAAATGTTATTCCACCTTTTTAATAGATAGAGACAGAACTTCTCCGATTTCCCTAATCCTCCTTAACAAGTGTACGGAAGTGATTAGATTGCGATAAACCATCAGTTGGACTAAAACGCTGGCTTTAACAATTTGTGTCGAACTTCTTCAATGTTGTGTTTATTACTTGCTTTGAACAATCTGTTCTTCCTAATGATAGAAAATGCTCACATGAAGTGCAGCCATTTATTGTTTTCCAGCCATCCAAAATTTAAACGGAAAACGTTCGAAGGCGAACTTTGCAAGGGCTGACTTCGAATGTGCCCTTTCTGTCGCCCTCGTTTGCTTGACCGCATTTGGAAAAACATATTGTTTCCCACTGTCGTCCACTAACGTGCAACTCAGTAATTAGGATTTTCCACGAAACTATGGTTTGTTATTATACCGTAGCAGCAGCTAGGCATCAAAATGCTTTGAACCTACACTAGTGTAGCACGGTCGAATGTAAAACAACCAAAAAATGAAGCATCCAGCTCAATTTCATATGGAGCGCGTGATTTACAAACTATTTGGAACCGTTAGTTGGTTTATCATTTGTTGTCTGGTAGATTCACTTCAAGTATTGGTCACTTTCAATAACGAGTTGTTCTCACTGTAGGCCCGGTGAAATCCACAAAATTACAGACGATTATCCACTGGAAAAATCATTTGACGTGAAGTGGACCCGGATTAGTTTGTTCTACTTCACACTAGAAATGAAGAAATCGAGATAAACCTGAGAGAAAAAGTATGGTAAGGTACGGTAGTTTGGGTAATATAAATGGGTCACCTGCAAAATAATTTAGGGGCACGGCAGCAGTTCTTGCAAACTCAGTAACACTGTCCCGGTAGACTGGACTTGCTTTGATTGGCTACATCTAGAATTGAATTTAAAGTCTACCCATCTCCCGGTTTTGAGCACCTACTTAACTAGTGATTATCAGCGTGTCCTTGAAATGGATTCCGGTGGCGGGAAAATGGGCGCTCCGCAGTACGACTGCGCACGTGTTCTTCCGGGTTTCAAACCTACTGTTAAAAAAATCAAACCTCAGTGCAGGCACGTGGCCTCCCACAGGTGAACATTTCAACTTGACTGGATATTCCTTCTTGGACGGTTGACTATTTGTACGAGTTCACCAGCGCGGGTGACAATATAACACCAATTTGTTGGACAGAACAATATTCACCTGGTTTTTTGACAGTCCACTACGGCGCTTCATTTTCAGGCAAAAACAATGCTTTTCGTTAGAATTCGACGGAAATGCTGGTGCATACAGTTTGGTCTTTACAGGTGTGCACGGGTTGTGATAATTTTTAGAGGCAACGATTCCCGAAAGCACAATAAAAAGCCTATTTTCACGGTGCAGTTTAGTATACTGCAATCTGTCCAATTAAACAATTGCTCTGCTTCTTCAAGCGTGCTTCTATTTGTTCTTCTAAAAACGTTCACCTGTTTTATTTGATTTTTGTCCCACTCTAGGTACACTGCAATAATGTTTCCTCTGCGTCCGAGAATACGTCCAAGGACCGCAATTTTCTACATTTTTCTTATATGGCTCGCTGCGTTTGTCGTTGGTCTACCGAGTTTAATTTTCGCAAACGTCGAAGCCACACCCGTGCTTCTACGAGGGCGCTCATCTGTGAAGAAAAACGAAACACAAGGAGAGCAGAATGTGACATATCCAAATGCAGACACAACGGTCAACACAACACAACTGGAAGACACTACGAGGCAGTGTTTTCTTGCTTTAAACCCAAAATATGATGAACTGTAAGTTACAAGTTTTCGTGTGTATCGTATTAAAAACAACCGCTAAATATACGTGGAAGTACCTTGAAAGGTTATAGACTCGGTGTGGCCCTTTGCGAAAGCTGTGCTTAAACCTTCCAAAGTGTTTTTCAAACGCAGACGTATCGTTTAAGCCTCCTAATACATATAAACTGCTTACAAGCTATTACGTTTCAGAGGATAGTCTCATTCCTTACCTCAAGTTACGAAAACATTTCTCTCTGCGACCAGGTTTATGTCACTGATCACTAAATGAGTTGTCCGCTTAACGTTGCAAGTAATTTAATAGCCTACTTTGGCTGAGTTCCTGAGATCTTTCAAAGTTAACTGTTGGCTTTGGGAGGCGTATGGGAAGAGTTCTCTGGGAGTGATGGTACAAGTTATAACGTTTTTTAATTTTTGAAAGATGTGGTGTGATTGGTTGATATTGCCTAACCAGCCGGTTAGTGAAGTAGGGTGACATAGTCAACAATTCATCCGATGTTGAGCTAAACACGGTCAGTATAATATTGTCAGATAGACTAGATCTAATGTTGAAGTTTGACGAAAGCATCACCATGACATCTGACCGGAAATCGACTCTCCCGTGACCTTTAGCGCGTCATGGTAGTGGAAAGCCTACGGAACAACATGTCAAGACATGCATTAATTATATATCGAGGGGTTTCTTGTCGATTTGACTGGCGGGTTTCTTCCACAGCCGTGCTGCATGTCGTGGTTGTGTCTAGTGACATTGGTCCGTTCAAAACTGGGACTCGAACTTGAGTTGCACGCAGGGCAAAATAATTATGCGGAAAAACGTAAAAACAGAACTCGAAATATAAATAAGAAGCTATGCACTTTGGGTGATTTAAGAGATAACGTTTCAGTGTTTTATAGCCCCTACATTCCAACCGCAGTGCCAAAATCCACTGTCATCATATCAAAGGTTGCAAACAATAGCATGCAGCTTGGCTGTGCACTCAATCATCCACTTTTCTGTGTCCAAGAAAGTTGTGTGTTGATCTCGTTAAATCATCACGGCAACGTTTTTACTGTTAGGTTGTACTATTATTAACGACGTTGCCATAGCTGCTAATTAGTTCATTAGAATTTCCAGGAAATCGGCCAATTACTTTAGCAGAATACCAAATTCATGGAAGAAGTATCTCAGTTCAGTCATGTGTAGATGTGCTTCGTGTTACTCCAGACGCAGCAAAATTCGCGTTGTCTTCAGCAAAATCTGTTCTATTAAAATCGCAATTATTCCCAAGAATGCTTTGGTGTTGCGTTTTTTGAAAATGGGAGATCTGTTGCGGAATCCGTAGAGCAACTTCGTAACGTTTGCTTGGATTTGAACGAAGAAGCAGTGGAGTCAATGAATCTCCAGGAAAGTTCAAGAAGACGCGTTCGGTGGGAGATGGGTGTCCAGTTTTTGTAAATAAGATGCTGCCTTGTTCAATGGCCTGTAACCGGTCAGTTGGCATTTCGTAATAAATAACTCCGCAGCGAAAGCCTCCTTCCTTCTTCCTTTATAGTACACACCACTGAAGTACTATAACACGACCATTCGGTGTAAGAATCACATGATTTTATTTCTCTTTCGAAGCACTTTTATCCAGACACGTTTATGCGCAGAAACGTGTTTGGGTTGCTTTTGTAAAAGAGATTTTGTTTGTTCTCAGAAAAATCCTGTTGCTTTATTAGTTTGGTCTCACTGAAATACCGTCATTCGCGATGGTCGGTTAAAACGCAATCAACCAGTTCGACCGTGCGCCACCCAGTTTAAACTTTTCGGTCAATTTTAGTGAATAGCGAAACACAACTATCAACATAAGGATAACTGGATAACTCTGTGTTAGCAAGGCACTTTTGTATGGAGACTGGTTATCCTAATATTCGGCAACAGCATCATGAGGAATTATCTAAATTTGTCAAAAGTTTGCCCTAACAGAATGCACACTCAATATTTGAGATTTTACCTCATGGTCTAAACAATATATTATCAAGATTCCTTATCTCAATGGGTAAACAGACGGTTGACCGGAAGATCTAATACGATGTACAAATTACTGCCCTGATAATTGATGATTTAGTGCTGTCGATTCATTTTACGTTACATGTTTGGTAGCAGACACAAAACCTCTGTGATCACAGTGTTACCTAATGCAATATTTTACGAAATATGAAGATTTCCAAGAGAACAAATTCATAGTAACTAACAGTCAAACAGCTGTTAGCCGTTATAAGATAAAATGTACTCCATGATTTTTGAAGCCGCATCTCTGAATTTTAATATTACTGACTATTCTTGAGGCAACACATAAAAATCACACATAAAAAAACAACAGCTGCAATAAAACGATTACAATATTGTTATCAGTGCTTATAATAGATGAATGGGAGTTTTCCATGTCTGTTCTGGACCGAGTTAGAATATTTAGCTGCGTAGTTAAGCTTTTGTAACAATTTGTACGAACACAACATTAGACACGCGAAAGCGAATCTTTTCAAAGCCAGAAAAAACAAATCGTGGTTACAAAATGTTAACCTTGGGGAGTATATACACTATTTAGCAAACACAAGTAACATAACCAACCGTCACAAAAATGAAGGCTATGGATGCAAAATGCTCAGCGTTTTCAAAGCTGCACGGGGCATTTTTGGGTTATTTCTCGGTAACTTAGATTCGGATGAGTACGCTTGCCGTAAAGTATAAAGCTAAGATTTATTCACTACTTAAATGTCGCACTCATCAAAACTGAAACACAAGTTTGGCAACACGTGAATCTATGTCATTTTGGATGGCCATCTCTCTGAGAAGGCTAAATACGATGTTGACTTAAATTGGTTTTCAACACTTTGTTGCGTCCTGTACGACTCCGCCGAATACGCAAAGCTTCGTTTTCAATAGTAATGAATTTCGTTTGGTGTATTGTGCAGTCGGACTTTCGACAAAACCTTGATATTTTGGATGCCTGGTTTGAAACACTGTTATGCAGCTTTATTGCTCTCTTAGGTTTCGCGGTATGCGGCCTCTTGACGGACCTCAGTAATGACGAGGCAGCCGTCCACGCTTCATATCTTTCCAGTTTAAATTGGATCTACCTTACGATCAGCATCCTGATTGGTTATTCTATGGAAGTGTGTTCTGTCTTATGACCAGGCGGGATGAACAGAGTTGTATGAATAACCAATGTAGAAGATATTTACTTCGTAAAAAACTAGAGTGTCAACACTTAGTAGCCTGATTGTAATTGGGTCTCAAGGTTGAACTTGAGGTCAAACAGCCACCGTGCAAGCGTGTACTAAACCACTGGCTACAAAAGTCACAAACAGCACATAATTTTGTTGACAATGCATTAGAATTTCACCCAATTTCTTGCAATCGGATTGTTTCTTTGGTGTTCAGCTGAATTTAAATAAGTTATGCGTTGGATAAACCAGTAAACATAATAACCAATTGAATTTCCAGCCTTTCTCCTTTTTCCGCAGAACTATCAGTTAGAGGGAAAAGGTAACGACAGAATTATAGAGTTTCGGTTATCATAAGAAGAAATAAAACGAAGTTTTTTACGGTCATATCACGTGCACAAAGTAATGCTCCTAGCTTTTTGAGCTTAGTCATCCTTGTGATTTCTGTTTCTCAACTATTGTTCCAAACCGGTGTACTTTTGATTGTCACATTGTAGAGTGGCTGCTCTAAGAAGGTGTTCCATCTTTGGGTTATATCGCGCGATTAAAGTGATGGGCAGAACGGTCTTTGTATGCTCCGATCCATTCTTGTTGACTGTTTACACACTGCAAACAAGATGAAGAAGGTCATTACTTCTTCGTTTTTAGCCCCTTTTTCAAAAAGACACCATTTTCGTAGCTTTATAGATGGAGAATTTCCTTCAGAAACACTCACTGGAAGCGTAAAAACTGTTCCGATGGGATGTTGACTAAGTGGAAAGTGTCAGCGGATTTTTAGTGTCATTTACAATCTCGCGCTGCCGAGAAATCGTGCAAGTTCATAACCACAGAGGCGAGCGGACACTTAACCGTTTGGGTTCACCGCAAGTCGTCTCTTTGCGCTGAAATTGATCTTACATAGGATATAGCAACAATCACCATGAACAGATCCGTAGAAACTGTAAGGCTGTCACTGAGAAACTCAAATGGTTTCGAAAGTCGTTTTCTCGAGGCCATCTCTAGGAGTGTGCCTTAGCTCGTTGTATAGAGAATTTTACTTGTCTCCGTAAACTCGATCTGTGCATTACAACGAGTTATAGGAGAGGATTTTGTGTATACTGAGGGTACAATTGGCTAGACTACTGTAGAAATGCTCACTAATGCACATAACAAATTTTCAATTCATTAGAGCGTATTTCAGAATCTACCTCTAATTTTCTGGTGCATGAATTTGACTGACATCAAGTTTTTTGTAGATTAGCTATGATAACACCTCGCTGGTGATCAGACACTCAACCGTTCAGGTTCACCGCAAGTCGTCTTTTTGCGCTGAAATTGATTTAAGTAGGATAAAGCGTAATATTTCTCCTAACAGCGCGGCGCTAATGTACAAAAAATAAAAATATAACTTTACACACCTCACTGGTTTGGTAGTTATTGTCAAACATGCTACCGTCCGTCAAATTTGCGTATTGATTCCGCAGCACACGCTTTTGTCGACGAAACCTCGGAGTTGGAAAATACGCGAACACAGATGCAAGAAATCACGTTTAGATGATCATTAAATGTGCCACAACGTGCTATAAGAAAAATGAATAAAAAAAATCCGGGGGAAGGTATAAAATTTGAATGCCATTGGACTCAAAATTTATGTAGTCAGTAGGGCGTCTAAAAAGTGGATGTAAATTAATTTCACGTTTCCAGCCATTCACAATTAGAAGTTGCTGGAATAAGGTTTCTAAACCTTGCCTCATGACAACCGCGTGCAATGACAGTTTGATGAAGTTCATGAATGTCATCGTAACGAGAGTTGACTGGGATACCGGTCTAATAACCTTGGTATTGGAAACACGCTAGTGAGACGTGATAATTCTGATAATGAGTATATCAAGTGGTTATACGTTTTATTCTGTTTCCCTCGAATCAATAGTGGAAGTTGAATATCGCCCGCTTTTGACTAGCCCAATAGCAGTGTATTTAAATGTTGTTCACGACAACCTTCTCAAACTGGCCCCTGCATGCTCACTGATGCAAGTGCAGTATTGCTATGCATGGTTGAGTTGGGTTCTGTTCATGATATCAGGGGTCGGCAACTTATTTGAGGATTCTGTCTAACGTTTGTTTTCCTCTGCTGAGAAGCTAACCTGAGATCTGTTAGATTAGTACATACATATTGTGCACTTCAAGCTTCTCCATTGACGGAAGTGCGGACGTAACAAAGGTAAGAACGGCGTTGATTCGGGGCACTCCTATGGCACCCAATTCACACTGGTGCTAGAAAACCTCTCTGCCTGTTGTCAGACGACGTCTGACTACATCTTAGCAATCGGCGACCAACCACTTAATTCTAATTTCTGGGTTCTGGTGACAGGAAGAAGGCTTTCGCTGCGGAGTTACTTATTAGGAAATGTCAACAGACCGGTTACAGACCACTGAACAGAGAAGCAAAACTCTAATTTGCATCCTATTTACAAAACTTGGACACCCATGTTCTCCCAAACGCGTCTTTCTGAACTTTTCTGGAGATTCATTGACTCCACTGATTTGTCGGTCAAATCAAAGCAAATGTTACAAAGTGGCTCCACGAATTCCGCAGCATACCTCGGCTTTTCAAAAGACGCAAAGCGAAGTTCTACGAACAACACATACGAATCGCGTGCCTCCCCATCAGCAGTATCACCGCTACAGTGTTAGGCTTACCGATTTGAACAGTGTGCACAAAGTGCTATTTTTGGGTACGCATCATGAAAAATATTTCAGGAGCAGGTAGAACTCTTTTCCTTTGGTTGTATCTTCATGCTGAATACGACAGCAAAAATAAGCACTGCAGCTGGGGAAATAAATTATTATATTTTGAAACGTTTAATACATTCGAGACAGTAAAGAGGTTTTAGCAAGTTGGATAGCACGTATTGTGAGCTAGAATGTTATTTTGTTGGAGTAAGATCGATAGCCATGAATGTTACTGGATATTAACTTACTTGTGTCTATATATTTTAACCGTTAACCACATGAACCACGTGACTAAGGGCTGCGGTATATTGTGGGTTTCTTTTACGATGTTGCCCAGTCTCCCATTTTACTGCGGTTCTTTTATTGCCAGGTATGACTATGCTCTTTTCACGCTCCTCTACGTGCTACCGCTCATGGTACTAGCAGCGACGTACGTGCCCATTTCTCTCCGATTATGGTTTCATCGGGGTATTGGTGAAATCACTCGCGCGCAAGTGGAAAGTGTCCGGTCGAAGAGGAGAGTAAGTCATAAAATCGCCGTTAGACCATCTATCTACACATGACACACGATGACAACAATTCATGCAAATGTTGCTTATATTCGTGGGCTCATAGTGGCATTGAGACACTCAAATGTTTACTATCAAACGCATTGACACAATCCTACACCCAGTGATGTTTTTTTATTTCTAAAGGCTACAATACTCGCTTCGTCGAAAATATACCCACTGCAAGTTATGAAGGCGAAGTAATACCACTTTCTTCCCTGGAGTTAATCAGGTGTGCATGGTCTGTATAGCTTCTCCATTCATCTCAGCCACGTACACTCCTAACCTTTATATATTCTGCTCGCACATAAGTGCTCACTTATGTTCTCTGTGTGTCTCTGTGTCTCTCTCTGTGTCTCCATCTGTGTCTATGATTGTCCGCAAAAACAACCTGCTGATTCCTTTAAAAAAACGTACATTTGGCCCCACTTGACTGTAACGAGGGATTACATTAATGAGGAAACACATGATACGTTTCCTGTATATATGCGGCTTATTCTTGTTCCTCACAAAAGTGTTTGTGTGCAATCTTCCGATTGCCTCCATTGTGGGTGGCATTACCTGTGCAGATGCAAGTGAGCAGTAAGCGATATATCGTATGGGGCAGTTATTGCTGCACATTACCTGTGATTAGTTTCTATATTTGTGTGAATTGCGACCCTCGATTTACCTAAAAGGGTGCGAAACCTACCGCTGAGAAACTCATGTTGCACTAGGTAAGAAGCTAGTTAATTTGCATACGCGTTTATTGGGTCAGTAACGTTTTCACCGATGAAAGCTTTCCTGGTTAAGAATGCTTACCTGCTCTGCCTGATATACGGCATTTTCCCACAGTCGCTTGTCATCGGTTGGCCACCGGAGATAATGAATGCTGTTTTGACCTCTGCGCACGTGATACATCTTTAAAAGGCTCACTTTGAGAGAATATGAATAAAATGATTCCATAATACCCTGTTGAAAGAAAGTAGCGTTTGGAGCAGGAAAGCTCTTTCACATACGTAAATACCAGCACACTGTGATAAATTAGCATAAACACCAAGGTGTCGTGTTTCATATTCTGTGGCGGACCTCAATATGTTCAAATAACAATAGAATTCGTTAGCGCAGATGTGATCTTTGTGACCAGGGCAGCTATTTTTCAACCAAATAATGAACCTACCATTTGAAGGTTGTAATTAAAAAAAAATACAAACTGGTGCATAACTGTCCCGACAGACTTTCAACCAGCTCAGAAATACTACAAACAAGAACAATCAAAGAAAACAAGTTTGTTCGCTACCTTCGTTGTTCTCGCGACTTCTACGGGTATGCTCAGCTTTATAATATAAAGTCCTTTTCAAGAAAGACAATGTTCTGCTCACAGTTTTAAAGCACTCTAACGTATAGGTGAAAATATTCGAAGTTTATACACAGGTTTATTTTTTAGTCAATCCACTTCTGTTTATAAATCCTTTTCTGCAGCCTGTGGGAAGCATTCCTATTGTGCTTCGATTAGTCCTCGTTTTGTAACAAGGTTATGAAGTATGCCTGGACAACAAGAAAAGGCCATAAATTTTCAAAAGTAATCAACAAGACTTCATTTTGTCACGCATCATACACGAAAATGGTGGAACTCAGTTATGCCTGAGGGTGTATGCCGAAAAAAGCGTTTTTGTGTTGCTGTGGTTAATTGAAACAATAATTCGGCTTCCTCACAACACCCTTCCAAAAAAGTAACACATTGAAGAAGAGCAAGGGATCTATCAGTAGCAATTTATATTGTCTGTGAGCTATAGAACGTAGCAATATCGATGTATTCGTTCATTGGTAGACGTTGAGATGCAGCATAAGTAGGCTGTGATACTTCAAATTTTAAAGCCATCCAGTGGCATGATCTTACTTTGGTTGCATCAGGACAGGAGAATGATTATTAAATCTAGGATCGTTTGAGTGTACATTATACTAAATTCCGCAACCACCAACATCTTAAGATCCTATTTTACCTTGCAATTTTTCATGGAAGTAAACAGTTTGCGTTCTGCAGTCTTGCCTGGCTGCTTACCTTAAGTAGATATAAGAGACTTTATTATCATGTGCATCACGCTGGTGTTCGACGGGAACATCTTTTGGGTCTTTTGAGGCCACACCAGTTGGCGCAGTCGTTGCCATCCGCAATGAACAAACATGGAGCGGCTGCGGTTACGTTTTGTTGCCCGTTTCACGTCAAGAGTCGCATAAGCCCAAAATTTCTCATTTCAACCTCTATACTTATGTATGCTGAGGTTATTTTGGCACCTTTACCAATCGGGACATTTTGTCAGGTGGAGATTAAAACTTTTGAAACCATGTACTCAAAGTTAGTTGTAAGTGCCCAATAAAAGTTTTTAACTATAATAAAAATTCAGGAATTTTTGTCAGACGTACCCGTACCGAAAATAAGTTTTCTGAGATAGCAAATTATTGCCAATAAAACTGAACTTTCCTTGCTTGGTCTGCAAACTATAATTCAGTATCCAAACAAAAAATCTTTGTTTTGCTAGAAGCCAAATTACGCACTTCTTTTTTGTAAAGCCAGGTAGAAAATACCACAATACAAAGCAATCCAAGGCCGTGAGATCAGGTGCCTGAACGACCTACTGTCACTCTACAGAAGGAGGAATCTTGGTCTCGCTTACTGTTTTATGTGTATCCAAACACTGATTGCCACATTTGTATAAAAGCAGAAATAAACAGAAACATAAAAATCAGATGTGATCTAACTGCTGCAAAATAAATCTTGCCTCACCATGTTAGAAACTGCCAATTTTAGTTTCATATTCAAAAAAGGAACCAATCCTCAATGAGTTAAACTGGTTTATGTAGATTTGAGAAACTCAAACATTTCGAAAACTGCTGCTTATGGAAATCACAAGACTTCACACAACTATGATGATATCTGGCAACAAGATTTTGAGAACCATCGCTTACTTCTAGACTGTGCCGTTTTGTAAAATGCCTCGTTTTCGTGTTTTACATCTTTTCTGAGTACACAGAAGAAACGTGTGACAAGGTCAGGAATGAAGAACATACATCATTATTTTATAAGAGCAATCATTATACAGATGGTATGAGACCGGCAACCTTCAAACAAGTTACGTGAACCGAAAAACAACCGCTTTTGGAGACTACCATGCCAAACGTAGTGCAAGAGGAAGGGTATTTGACACAGCTAGCTTTCTGAGACCTATCAAGAATAACTCGTTTGTATTCAATCAGTAGCACTGCAATCAAACTTTGGGCTATCCCTGGAGCGTACTCTACGTAAGCTATGAAAAAATCACATCATCTTTAGTACTATCATATACGCGCTGCATCGCGAAGGATACCTGCAAGCATCGCAAGGAGCTGCGGATAACTGCGATATTGTAATATGACTTCCATATATCCAGATAGGGTAACTCGTGCTTCAATCATAAAATCCGTAGAAAGTCGCCAAAAGCTGACTAGTTTTCGGTGGCGATGTCTCCCGCAAATTTTCAGTCGTGTAAAGTGTGCTAACTCTCTTAAAGGGACTGACGGTCAAGAGCCTTTCCTTATGCACTTACATCAGCAGAATAAATGGGCCACCAAATGGAAGGTTACGTCGAGTGGCGCGTAACTAAAAATGTTGGAGATATCGATTCAAGCAGATTCATTAATCTGTACCTAGATAAAAATATCTACATGCTGAGCCCAACGAAACTCACCTGACAGACGTCTAAGTAATCAACAGTTAGCCCTTAATGCGGGTAGTGCCGTATTCAACTAGATAAAGAGAATTGGAAATTTCCACCTAGCAGTCTGTTTACAAAATTCTGGTTCGCAAAGCCACATAGCACCTGCTCCTACTTTAGTCAAATCGGGGATATGGCGGTGCCACGATAAGAAGACATTCATCTACGGACGCGGAAGAACGTTTTCAACTCAGTAGTTTGAAAGAATCCACCTAAACTAGTAGAGATTAAAAATCTTGATTGATTATATTGCTTTTCTTAGAACAGCACCTGAATAATATTCTCACAGTGTGACGGCTGTGGGTAGCTGAACATGAGCCTTGTGTTAGTTTCAGTTAGCTACAGTGGAGATACTTGATCAGGTGGTATTTGGATCACTCCCACAAACGTTTTATTTTTCCCATCCTGCCTGTGTTTCTGGTACGATCGCGTACCAATCAGTATCTTTGTTTACTCCCTTTTTGCAGTTTTTTTCCGGAAATGAATAGCTGGGCAAAGTTTCGTCGCCCTAAGCTGGTTTCTACTAACACACCTGTCCGTAGCGATTGAGGCGGCTTGGTGTAGGAATTAGCACGCACCAGGTGTCTTAGCATGTTTCCACCATCAGCATAGCCAGATCTTTCAGGTAGAGAGGATTTGGCCCATCTCACCAACGAAACCTTTTAGGAGGGACGTTGTACTTACAAAGGGAGCTAATTTGGCGTTATATTGACGCGCTACTGACACTTAATTTATTCTAAACTGTCGGCTGCAAAAGCATTTTCGGCATATACAATCGGGATTACTCATTTGACTGATGACCAGTCGGCTAATGAACGCTTGGAATGCAATGGTCTCAGTTTCAGTTTTGACGCATTATTGAGGCTAGACTTGATCATACGCACAGGCCCAAAAACCCGAGAATATATGGGTTAGGATGACTGGGTTAAATGCTGAATGCCGAAGTCATACCAGTACCGTAACCTATGACAGAGATGTTTGTCAACTGTTCTAACTAATGGTTGACGATTGAAACAAAGACCTTGCGTACTAAATAGTTATTTGGTTCCTGATCTTAAAGAAGGATATGCTCCCACTGCAATCATACATCTTTCATTACCGTCACAGGTAAACTGGCACACACAGTGGTACTTAGTCCCATTTGAGTAGAATGTGATATTGAAATTTACCGGTAACTTTTCCATCTATTTGACAGCCTAAATCTTTGCTACCTTTCACGTTTCTCATAGTGGTCAGACAAAA